ATTTTGACCCCGTCGTGCATCATAGATGGATATTCAACGTAAAATTCTTTGGCGTTGATTGCTTCCCAGCTCCGGTGAATTGAACGGAAGATCCTTGGCAATCTTGAATTTGATCCGTCCAACTTCTCTGTCCACTTCGATATCAGGAGAGACACATTTCGCATACATCTCGCCACCACTCTCATAGAAGAAGATTGGAACAACAATTCGATCTGATATAAGCTGAGCCAACTCATAAATGTAGTAATCTCGGTGGTCGTGGCGGATCATTTGGGCCCTGTTATCAGAATTCAGTTCGGTAAGCCATTTGGATGACTGGGACAGTCGAGATACTCCTTTGAACGCCGTGAATTCCGGATAGAATTTCACGTGCGGAGCAACCCATGGATTCCCGAGCTCCATTGCGAGAGTCTTCTTCAAGCTTAAATAATGGAGTGGAGTGCTCAAAACCGAGCGACAGCCCACCACGTCCATCGCAATAATTTTACGCAGTTGAGCCTTGCCTCGACGTATGGTGGTCCAGTCTGGGAGCAGGACTCGACAAAGTCTGAACATCAACCGCACATGATTGAACATCTGGCGCGAGATGATTGTGCGAGTGTGCCCTATGATGAGCGAGCTTATCAAATACTGTCGGGATAGAAGATATCAAGATCTCGTTGCCTTGAAGTGATTGGACTCCAAAAAAGAAACTCACCTCCTTGGCCCGTAATGGCCACCATGCTCCTTTGTCCGGCTTTGGCTTGGCCCGGCTGGCCTGATTTACCTGACAACGCATGTCATCAAGTGCCAAGGGGGCGACATCGTCAGCCAAAAGCCCATCCCAGCCGCTCTCCTCGCTGTCCGCTTCGTCAGTTGAGACGCTGTATTCGGAGTTAGGCGAAGGCAAAGGCACATTGCTAAAAGTTGATACTTGGTCAAGGAAAGCCAAGTCCAATTCCAACTCATTTGATCCGGCTGAGTGCCCCCCGTTGCTTGGGACCGCGCAATTGACCCCGGGAAGCCAATCTGCTTGGGTCACGGCTGCGATCTCAGCACCGTTGTCGGGACCCAATTCGGGCAGCCGAACTGGTGAGCCGGATGCAGGTGGGGCATCCTCCGTCACCTCTGCATGGTTAATCGGAGGGCTTTGCATCGAATGATGGCGATCTAAGTTTTGCTGGTGTCTGGGAAGGCGCGCGTGCCGGAGTGGTCTTTGGAAGGGTCTACCCCCACACAGTGAACAGCGATATAAATTGGAATTTCCTTCTTCCAATTGTTCGAAGATCCCTGGTTTTCAGGAATGGTCAGAAAATTTTAGTCAAAACGTTTATTTAGTGAAGACAAACTGACTGGGATCTAAAGTTTGGCGCGTCAACGGCCCCGTGGATCTCGTCATGTTCGATTTCAACTGATGCTGCAGGAAATGTTTTGCCGATAGGTCATGTGAAGAGGGGACATCAGATTATCAATTGTCCCCATTCTTTGCTGATCAACCCTGCTCGGCACACGAATCCTGAGGTACCGTGCATTGAGCTGCTGGCAGTCAAATGACTGCAGGGACACCTGTGTGATTTGCCTGCGGTCATAATGCTTTGGGCACTCATGCTAAGCGAATGGCCCCAGGAAGTTTGTGGTGCCTGTGTTCCAGGTTATCTTTTCATTTTCAAATCCGCGGCGAACCAATTGATTGCCGCGAGGCTGGGCCAAAGGAGCCAGACTTGCAGAGGATCATTTGTCCTCACGGCCTCGGCATTTGTGCACAGGCAAGCTCCGTGTTTGGGTGTGGTCGATTGAAGTTTCTGAGCTAGAATTCTTCACATGACTATTGGATTTCTTTATTGCTGTGTCTCGAGTTCACGGCCTTGCTGGTGATTTGATGTGGGTGTGTGTAGCCGAGGACAAATTCCAAAGCCATTGGTACGCAGGCGGCAAGCTTGTTCTTGGTCACCAACTTTTTAGGTGGACCACTGAAAGTGTGCTGGTCAGTGTCCCGGAGAACGGGGTCATGACACCATGAGAGGCCAATGTGGAGCGGTGCTGAACCACACCTGCTTGCCTGCTT